GTTCTTCATATGGAAGACAGCAATCGTGTCGTTGTTTACGGGCACCAGAACTGGAGACCAAATGCTAAAAACAGACATTTGTTTAAAACAAATGACTTAAAGATAGACTTCAAAACTCAATTTAAACGAATGGATACTATATATGATAATAACGTTGTGATTGTGACCACAGAAGAAGATAATCACTATATCTTGGGTTCAAATGACAATCAAATGACATTTATTCCGATTGAGTCGACATTTTGCGAGTCTTTGTTTGACATTTTTGCCAAATTCTGTGGTTTTGACACAAGTTTTGAGACAATTATGAACAAAATTGAAACCATTATTGAAACCAAGAGTAGATCCATCGCATCCATTGCTTCCGAATCCCTAAATAGTTTAGATTATGACATGAATAGCGATATTATGGCCGCCGAAGAAGACGACGACGAGGTTTACTACTCGACAGATGAAGAAGAGATTTGTCAACCATATCAACCACTATCACCACTGGATCTTCATTTCTTTGATCCCATTCTTCAGCAAAGTTCTGATGATAACAATAATGAAGAAATAGTTGACAAACGCTTGTCTGAATCGACCGCCGATTCAAATGAGAGGTAATTGTCTGCGATATTGTGTTTTTCACTCATTTTTAATGACAATTTAATTATTGAATTCAATAGTAAACCATTGAATGTCTGCACCGAACCATTGGTTAATATATCGTTGGAAAGTGAATGCCCAGAGACTACCACTCATCAGAATGGATGTGATATCGGATCAATTGAGTCGAAGAGCGATATTGTCGACACTCGTGATCATTCTATTCGGTAATTGTGTTTAGTTTTAATTAAATGTCTGTTTTTGTAATCATTTAAAAACTTTTTTCAGTATTTTTCACAACCATTTGGTCGACGCTTTCAATAATCAATTGGAATCCGATATTCGGTTTAAAGTGGAAAATCAATTCATATATTGCGATAAAACAATACTTAAGATACGGAACCAATTGTTTTGGGATATTTGCGAACAAAATATGTTTAATGAAAACCAAATCAATATCAATGCCTACTCTTATGAGGCATTCAATGCACTTCTAATGTATTTTTACGGATTACAACCCGAAGTGAATGACCACAACTGTTCTCAACTGTTAAAGTTGGCCAAAGAGTA